GGGCGTGGGGTTATTTAAGAAGGGGGATGTCACCCCCACCATCTGAAGTACTGCTTGTAGGTGTGCATTAAATCCGTTTAGATGTCTTTATATAAACAACACATTCAAGTAGGATCGGATACAAACTGTATGATAGTTTAACAGGAATTATAACTAAAGCATTAAAACGTGAAATAAAAACATCTTTCTAAATAGGTTTTAGCTTAATATATGTGTTATGGAGCAGATGGATATTTTTCAATTATGTATTGATGTTCTTAAAGTTTAGTAATATATTCTACAACAGCTGATCAAAAACTCCGGAAGCTGTCTATTTTAATGTCCAAGAGGCGCTTTATTATTGGCTCGTTGTGCTAATAGCAATTAGCATCATAACCAGACGAGAAACCAGCTGATCTCTGACTTTCAGACAGAAACGGATCATCTCATGAATCACTTTGATCCTGAACTAAATCCGAGGTGTGCCTCCACAGACCGACTGGACCTACCTGCTTGGTTCTGTTCGATTCGGGGTCTCCAGCTGATGTCCAGCAGTCTCTGACGGTCGATCTCCTCCTCGTACTGGATGATGGTTTTTTCCACCTCTGAGAAGATTTCTTCAGCAGCAGCAGTTAGTCTCTGTCTGATAAACTCTCTCAGAGGCTTAACTGAACACATTGTTGCTGCGCAGACTCAGACTGGATCCCACCACAGCGATTGACACAACTAAGCTAACTATGCTAACGGCTAAACCGGAATTAACCGTCACAGCTGCCTCTTGTATTAACTAGTGGTTGGTACCGCCCCCTGTTGGCTAAACATATAACTGAGGATCGTAATAGTACTACGGTATAATTAATTTCTGCTTTCTGTTAACAATGCGGGACCTGAGTATATTTTATTAGACTTGTAGAAAATATGATTTTAAAAAGTGTTATCTTATTTTCATAGAAAACTCAAACGCCATAAATTCTGCTGTGTTAGATTGTTGTTGTTTTGGAAGATTTCCGCCGGCGCTGCCGAAGTTCTCGTGAACATCCGCCGAAGTTCTCGCGAGTTCTCGAATAGGCTCCCCCTAGCGCGTTGGCGGAAAACTGCTGTGCGTCCCCAGAAATTCCATACCAACATTGCAGAAGCATACCAGCAAAAACTGGTTCACGATCAGACCCAAGCGACATTTGATGAGTTCGGATGAAGAAGAATAATCTGCCTTTTATTCTCTATTGCTTGTCATTTAAACCTTTATCTTCTAGCTCACTATGGATCTGCAGATCTTCCATTTACATGAGGTGTAAATGCTACAGTATATCACATGTGAAACATATTACTTGTCCCCATCTAATAAACAGAAACTCCTATCAGCTTTTTCCTCATATCTGGTTTTAGTTTAATTCTAATTAGAAGTTTGAACATGAAAATAAATATTCATGTCTGGATCCATAGATACAATGTCTGATTTAGCGTTAATCAGAGGACAAAGCATTATTATATATTATGTAAGTAATGTAGAGTGAATTGAAGCCCCAAAGATACTTTGTGTGGTTCATTGTTTGGTTTCTCATTTTAAAAAATGAGATGTTTGAGATGAGATGTCTCTAAAACCTGAATGCAAAAGTAAAGTATTGAAATAAGTAAAAATCCATTGCTTTTAATTTTTCTTAATCTTAACGTTTTAATTTATCTATCTAAATCAGTGGAAATTGGATTAAAAACATCCCTTAGCAAAAAGTAGTTTATTCAAGTATTCTTAAAGTGCACTAATTTCATACTTAAAATCAGGCAGTGCACTTAGAGTTTACTTCTTCTAAACTATATTTCATATACTTAACATTAGTATAGTCAAGTGTACTTGACTTACACTGAGTAGTATAAAAAGTGTTTATTAAAGTATACTTTAAGTATACTTTAGTAAATTTAAAAATTTAGTATACTTTATGCATACTGCTTTTTGCTAAGGGGTTGATTGAGACTTTTGCAATTTAAAATTTGGTATCTAAAAAAGTAATAATTCAGTTGAGGTTTGTGTCCTTATGTGAAAACGCCTGACATAGGGTTGGAAAAAAAGAAAAATAAACAAAAATTAGGTTTATGGTTATAATAACTAAAAAGGTTGGGAGTTAAAATATTTTATATACTGTAAATAGTGTACACATTAAAAAAAGAATTGGTATACTTGTCTATTTCACCTGCTACAGTTAGCAGTGCTAATCTGCTTTATGCGAAGAAAAATGAAGTATTCAATGCAGTGACTCCCTTTTCAAAAACAAGGTAAAAGTTTCTTCTTTGATATATAAAAAACTGTAGATATTTTAAAGATCCAAAAGTCCAAAATAAAAGCTCAGGTCAGGTTGCAGTAAATGAGAACTTGGATTGCCCAGTAAACTTTTTATTTTACCCTTTTCTCTCCCTGTTCTCAAACAGGAAGCATGAATTTCTGAATTGGTTGCTTGATCTTCAGTTCCCGGCTGAGAACGACGTGGAAAAATTCTGCCCAGCTCACTTCAACTGCGAGGAGCTTCTATCAGCTTGGGGTTTCGCCATATTTTCTGCTCCATGGATCACAATATATCATGATGTCTGATCCACTCACCATGGCTGAGAGCGAGTCACATAATTTGAAAAACTGAAAAACAGCGTCAGTGCAGCCAGATCAGCTCCAGATCTGGGCAGTACCACCAGCTGAATACTTGCTTCCAGAATCACTTCATCCGTCCAGGACTCAGTGTTTGGAGTTGCCAAGAGATGGATCAGTGGCTCTGGTGAGTTTCTAACTGGAAAAAGTTGCATCTATGTTGCATTAATTAACCCCATGTTACAACCACAACCCGTTCCTGTGCTGTGCAACCAAAATAGTGGTAGAACAGATGAAGTGTGATTCAAGTTAAAAACCGTGGTTAAATAAAAATCGTTGACAACCATGAACAATAAAATACTATTACAGAACAACTTGGATTTTATATTTGAGAAACACAGTGTTGGAGCCAAATGCTTGATTTATGATTGAATATTTATTTCTAGTTTACTATTTTTGTCTGATTTGGTGTGACATATATGAGCTTGAAATATTTTGATTTGAAGTATGAGTTGACTTAATTATGAAATAATGAATTTGTTTAGTTGTATTTTTTCTGCTGTGCATAATTGAGGCTGTTTCTCGCCTCCGCCCCTTCATTATAGACAGGTGACTGCATCACCTGAGATATATTAGAGTTGGCTATTGGGGCCGGGTGAGCTCTTGGATTCAGACACTCAGCCATACAGTTTTTAACCGCTATTGATTATTGTTTTTTTTGAGTGGCATAAAAAGGAACGAAATGAGCCGATATGATCTGCCTGTCACGTCATACTGGCGTAAGAAATCCTAAGTTTGTTTTTTGGAAAATAAAGCGTCTTGATTAAGAGGAAAGAAAGTTTGTTGGATTGCATGGTCACTTTAAAAAACATCTGACAGCGCTGAAGTGAGTCTCACTTGGAGGCTTCTGAACCAAGAGCCACGCGCATCTTTATTGGAAGGATTGCGCTGAAACAAAGTTTATCTTGAAGAATTTGGAATGAGATCAAATAAGTTTTTAACTAATTTATAGCAACTGGAAGGTGTTCAAACTTATTTTGAAATGTAAAACCAAAAGGTAAATAAAGTTTTCTTTGGTAAAACTTTATTAAATAATTTTCCTGAATCAATAACCATCTAGTTAATGATTCTTATCCTGGTTTGTAGCAACAAGATCCTGGGTCGGTTCCCAGTCCAGGCTCTTTCTGCATGGAGTTTGCATGCTCTCCATGCTTGTGTTCTCTCTGGTTACTCCAGCTTCCTCCTACAGTCCAAAAACATGACTGTTAGATTAATTGTGCATGATTTTGTCTCTGTGTTGCCCTGAGATGAACTGGTGCCTTTTTCAGGGTGGACTCTGCCTTTCACCCCTAAACCTGCTGAAGATCGGTACTAGCCCCACAGCGACTGCGGCAAAGCGAGAGATGATGGATGGTTTCTAGACCTTCTGTGATTGTTCCTGAGGGATAATTAGGGTAGAGACCCTGTTGTACCAAAATGTGATGACAGCCAGAAAGCTGCTTGAACATGAGTAGAGTGTCATTACAACAGATGTTCATTGCTTTTAGTAACTTTTAATTTATTTCAATTGTATGAAATGTTTAATTAATTAAGATAAATCTAGGTTTTAAAATAGTGGTATTTTTTTTTTTTGTCATAAACTGAAATGCCCCAGAAATTGTAAGGTATAGGTGAGGATGTTCTTTTTCCAGTTGGATCATCATCGTACATCCTCGTCCCCATTTTCACTTAGCGGTGGTGAGTCTGACATAGTGGGAAAAATTGCAAATCTTCTTTTTGAAAGTAAACTTCTATGAGAGATGTAAACAGCAACTGTTAAACAGAGCGTGCATGAAGAGGAATGGGCTTGTACACGCTCTCGCAGGCGTTTAACAGGCATTCCATCTCCAGAGCAGGTACAGGGTTGTACAAGTGGAGATTCGCAAAAACCTTCCACTATAACTTTAAAATGGACAAAAAATATATATACATATATTTTTTTAAATTACATTGAGTTTTGTGGTCAATTTATCCCTTTCATAATCCTCCAATGCATTTCTAAGATGGAATTAAAGGGGTAGTTCTGGTTTTTGGACATGAAGTTGTGTGAAACGTTCAGTTTGCAGGTAAGATGTAACAGTATCCCTACCGTCACCAAACCTCTTGCTCTGAGAAACGGCCAGTAATGTACCACAGAAAAAGTAGTTCTAGTACGGTACGGGGGCGCAAATAATCACGTTTTAAAGTTAGAAAACCACGCATGTTTATGCGTTTCTTTGACTGTATTTAACTGTACGTGCTCTTTCATCCTCTGATGTGGGAGCTGAATCGGAGCTCGTTTGCCTGGCTTTGTTTCAGGATAGGGTCGCAGCAGATGGCCGCTCACACCGAGTCTGGTTCTGCTGGAGGTGTCTTTAGATAGAAAACTTTGAACCCATCTGACTGAATAACCTGGATAATTAGTCTCTGTAAAATGCATTGAGATGACGTGTTGTGAAATGGCGCTATATAGATAAACTGAATTGAATATTC